GGGCGGCTCGTGACGTGTCTTCGGCACTGGCGTGGCAGGTCTGATCAATGTATGTCTGCGTCTGCCGGGACTGGGCGCCCACGGATCCTAGATCGCGGCTGCCCCCATGAAGGCCAAGGACAGAGGCATGCTGCCGCACCTTGGATTCTGGGCTTCGCGGGGAGGGCACAGAAAGCGTCCTTTCCAGCAGTTGGCCCTCGGGGGAATTTTAAGCATCCGAGTTAGCCAGCTTCTTGGACATATTGACCTGGGGAGCTTCGCTGCGTAAAGAAGCGTCATGTCCACACGGCACCCACAATGCTTTGCCGCGGGGATGGGAAGCCAGTTTCCTTGAGAGCGGGGAGGGGGAGGCGCTGGTTCTGTTAACAGGTCTTAGCGCAGAGCCAGCGGGGAAGACGCGGAAGCAAGATTTATGCTCAGCGACAAACAGCGCAGCTGCCCTGAATCAGGCTCCAGAGTTTGGGAGCGTTTTTGTAGCCAGTCTCGGCTTTGTGGCATTGTTCCACGTACTCTGAACCACCAGGGAGACTGGGAGCTTGCTTTCTGCATCCTTAGGACGTATATGCATTAAGCATTAGTCCCTCGCCCCCCCCACCCCACCCCTTCCCCACTAATTTGTGCGCACAAAACGCAGTAGTTTTTGGTTTAAAACTTGACAGATGAAATGATGGAAAAGATGTAAATATACTTTCTCGAGAGCCTTGTGGGGCCAGGCATTCAAGAAAGGTCCTTTTTACTGTCCAGAGAGACAGAGCAAAAAGACAGCCAGACCAGTAAAACCTGCAAAGGATTGCTGAGGAAACACTTCCTTCTTTTAAAATTAGTACAGCAGGTTGATAAACCCATTGCCGTCGGGTCGATTCCGACTCACAGCGACCCTGTAAGACAGAGTAGAACTGCCCCATAGGGTTTCCAAGGAGCGCCTGGTGGACTTGAACTGCTGACCTTTTGGTTAGCAGCGGTAGCTCCTAACCACTGCACCACCAAGGTTTCCGAGTTGATGATAATATCGTTTATTTGTTGTGAGAGCCTGTGTGTAATTTTTCTTAGCGTTACACATAATCTGACTAAAAAGGCTTCCATGCCTGTTGGGGAAAATTACAGGAATGTTTCAGAAAGAAAATAAACATCCTGTAACCCGACCTGCTTTCTATGTTACTGACCTAGGGAATATTGCAGGAGAGAGAGCTTCAGTCTAGCTCAGAGCATTGTTGAGTGGGAATAACAGTGTTCTGTGGTATGTGTAGGGAGCCCTGGTAACACAGTGGTTAAAGCCCTCGGCTGCTAACCGAAAGGTCAGCAGTTGGAACCCACTTCCATAAAGATTTACAGCCTTGGAAACCCTATGGGGGCAGTTCTACTCTGTCCGACAGGGTGGCTGTGAGTTGGAATTCAGCTTGACGGCAAAGGGTTTTCTGGTTTGGTGGTTTGTGCCCACAGGGTTCCCGATGAGATGGCGTTATGGAACGTGTATGAGTGTGTAAGCAGTGTTTTAGTAGAGGGATGTGATAGGGAAGGCAGGAGATTGGGAGGAAGGGTCCACACGAGTTTGAGCTCCACGAGAGCAGACAGGTGTACGCAATCCCTGGTACACACTTGGAAATTGCCTGCTGAGTGAGCCAAGGATTGGGCATGAGGGCTTTGGAGTAAGAGCTTACCCTGATTCGCCTCACCGATTTCCTCAGCTGCTGTTTCCAAGGAGATTATATATGTATGTGTTTGTGTGTGTATATATGGATATAGATACATAACCTGAAAATACAAAACAGAACAACCCTGTTGCCATCTGAGTCGATCTCAACTCATAGTGACCCTATAGGGCAGAGGAGAGCTGTCCCATAGGGTTTCTAAGAAGTCGCTGGTGGATTCCAACTGCCGACCTTTTCATCAACAGCCAGGCTGTTAACCATTGTGCCACCAGGGTGTGCGCTGTCTCTCTCTGTCTCTCTCTCTCGCTGTCTCTCTCTCGCTGTCTCTCTCTCTGTCTCTCTCTGTCTCTCTCTGTCTCTCTCTCGATCTGGGGGGGTGCAAATGGTTAAGTACTGGACTACTAACCAACACGTTGGCAGTTCAGACCCACCCAGAGGTGCCTCAGGAGTAAGGCCTAGCGATCCGCTTCCGAAAGGTCACAGCCTTGAAAACCCTATGGAGCAGTTCTACTCCGCACACTTGGGGTCGCCATGAGTTGGAATCGACTCGACAGCAACTAACAACAACAAATACACACACACACACACGCATAGATAGAGAGGACACACACACACATATAGTTACAGAGAGAAAGAGAGGACACACACACACAGATACAGAGAGAGAGAGGACACACACACATACACACATAGATAGAGAGAGGACACGCGCATAGAGAGAGAAAGAGAGGACACACACACACATATAGATAGAGAGAGGACACACACACACACACATAGACACAGAGAGAAAGAGAGGACACACACACACACACACATAGATACAGAGAGAGGACACACACACACATAGATACAGAGAGAGAGAGGACACACACACACACGTAGATACAGAGAGAAAGAGAGAACACACACACACACACACATATAGATACAGAGAGAAAGAGAGGACACACACACACACATAGATACAGAGAGAAAGGACACACACACACATATAGATACAGAGAGAGAGGACACACACACATATAGATACAGAGAGAAAGAGAGGACACACACACATATAGATACAGAGAGAAAGAGAGGACACACACACATATAGAT